GTCTAAAAAGAATTTGAAGCAGATGATTTTTCTGTTCTATTCAAAATTAATTGTCGCCCTTTGTAATCATTATTAGATTCTGGCTCTTCTTAGTCAAGCTGCTTTGCCAAGGACTTAAAGTCAATATGGAAACATTAGGAACAAATGCAGGATAATCACCCTTTACTCCCAAAGAACCTAAAACACTTGGCCTAAAGTTTTCTTTTTGAGGCTAATTTATCAACATATATTCCAGGGGTATCTCTGAAATACACTAGAGGCACGTGAAACGCTGCTCTACAATGTGAGTGGTTTGTCAGTATACTTAAGTATACATTTATTATATTCAGGTATGCTTTATGTGTCTACGTGCATTTCAGTTATGTCTTTTATATATAATTATGTTTATTAGAAGGGTGTTTGAACACATCTCAGAAGTTCTCTAGTAGGGGGCTGAATAAATAAATTATGGCTCACCATACAATAAATGTTTATTGAACATCTACTATATTAGTTGAAAAAGCCTATTGAGAACAGTGTATATTTTAGAATGACATTTTTACAATAGAAAAAATGTATTTGTATTTCTATTCTAAATACGTATGTATGGATATATAGAGGGATGGAGAAGAAAAGTTCTGGAAGTATTTTTAAACTGTTATCTTTAGGTTATTCTGGGGTCACATTTTGGGAAATTTCTATACTTTATATTTCTTCATGATTTGGAGTTCATAGAATGTTAATATATTACTTTTGCATGGAGATAATACTTTTTATTTCAAAGAGCAGAGAGGGAAAGTTTGGTTTCTTAGGCTAAAGAGGAGAGGGCATGGAGAATGGGGTTGCAGACTCGAGTAGAGAGGGTAGGGGGACTTTGAATGGCCCCCTGCTGCCTCCTGGAGCCTGGGCATTTCCTGTTCCCCAGGGAAAGGGCAGAAAGGAATGAAGGCAGGACTCAAAAAGCTGTCTTTTTCCTAAGAAATAAAGAGTGGGAGGCTCAGCCATGGGTCTCTAATTGGTCACTCTCTCTGGCCATCTGGCCAGCCCTGGAGCCTCGGAGTGGCCTCTTGTACACTCTATTGGGCTGTTTACCACAGTCCTGGAATCAGGGTGACAACCTGCACCCCTCTCTGTGTTGCTTATTTATTTATTGGGTAGATTGAGATCCAGCAATCTCTTCCAGGCGACTTCCCAAGTTATCTTAACCCTAGATCAATATAAACTGGATTTAACTAGGCTGGTGAGATCTTCCAATATTTTAGGGCATTCTCTTTCTTTTTTGGAGGAGACCCTTATTATGAAAGGGTTCTATTCTGGGCTTTGTTTTCAGATGTTTTAAGCTCCCCTGAAGATTTAGGGATACCTGGAAGTTCCTCTCAAATAAGTCAGAAATCAAGCAGATCCTGCTATGAAACACTTCACCCATTCTTCCCAAGGTAGAGTCTCAATCTGTGCCCAAATTAGATTATGATTATGCCAACTTGTTAAAAGACTGGTTCTAGTCACCCGCAAATTTCAAGTTACCTGAAACTTCCTAGCTTATACATCATGGTACAGATAACTGAAGCCATTGATAACTTACTTATCAATCCTCACCATTGGGGAAAGACACTTCCATTTGAGTAAACTGTTACTGGAGTCCAACAAAGATAAGATGGTTACTGCCGTGAGTGTGCTCACGGTACTCCTCAGTCAAGGTTATGACTCAGCCTACCACTGGATTCTCATGTGCCTGCCAAGGTCTCAGCTGCACCTGTGAGGGGAGAGGGCAGCTTTGGGCCACTTATCACGCATGTTGGTACCATGTACAGGCCAACACACGTGAAGGGGGAGCAACATGCCTGAATGCTCATTGTGTACAAGGCCAGAGCTGTACCCTTGACCCAGTTATCACATATCATCTT